GTAAGTAATCCTATAATTTTTTGTTTATAGCATAGTTTATACAGATTATTCCCAAAAAATTATACGTATTTTGGAAATGTTGAGTGGAATTAGTCTAGAATCGGTTAATTTTATAGAAGAAAACCTTTCAAACAGCCTTAGTCCGTAAAGTTCCCACCTATCGGGCTGCGATTGGCTCATGTATTTAATCGTTCCTACAACGTAATTTTCGGTTAGCGTGGAACGTATCTAAGCGTTATAGGGGGGTCTACTGTAATATAATAATAAATTTTCACTGTATTATGTACTTCGTAAGATAGTGTATAAAAGCTATTTGATGAAAATTAAATTTTTAATAAATTTTTAAAACTTGCTACTTTATCCCTAAGATGACTCGAATTCAGTGGCGTAGCGAACATAACTGGCGCCCGGGGCACGACACTTTATTGGCGCCCCTCCCCCTCCAGAAAAATATATACAGTAGAGCGTCGTTCATCCGAAAGTCGGTTAAGCGAAACGTCCGTTATCCGAAAGCATTCCAGTCGGCAAATTTAAATTTTCACTAGTGCTATGGCGCTGCAATCTTTGGCTATATCTTAGGCTACTCCAATATCTTTTTCTTGGTGTGTGTGTTTTAACTGGCAGCACTGGCACTTTTGTGTGGTGTTTTTCTGAGGACTATGTTGTGCTGAATCGAACGTTTTTGATACTACATCAACTTCTAAAGTATAATTTTTGGTTTTTATATTTTTCAATATATTTATTTTGTTTGTAAAAAATAAAGAAATAATTTTTAACGATGCAATAGCCACGGTTATTATTTTAAAAAATTTACATTAGGCTTAACATCGACGAAAATTCAACGCAAAGTGACACACAACGGAGAAAAATTTCAACATGGGATAGGTTAATGTATTTTTTCGTACATAATTGGTTATCCGAAAAATAAGTTATCCGAAAAACCGCAGTCCCCAATTGATTTGGATAAATGACGCTCTACTGTAATGCTTCGCATTTGTTTCTGGTGATGCAGTTCAAAATGTATCAAATGCATGTCACCAGTTCCTATTTAGAACTGGGTACCGTTCATTAAGTCATTGTTTCATGACTTCTCACAAATTTTCAATGGGTTTCAAGTCTGGTGAATTGCTTAGCCAAGGCAGGATTGCAATCTGTTGTTCTTGTAAACAATGTATAGTTGACTTTGTGGTATGTGAGGATGCCCTGTCTTGTTGAAATGGAAATGTTTCCTCAACTAAATTCTCTGTCAATGGTATCATAAATGTCTCTAAGATGTCTTGATATGTCTGTGCATTGACACGTTCCTGAAGAATGCACAGTTGTGCTACGCCATTAGCACTCATGCATCCCCAGATCATGATGGACAACAGATCTCTTCATACAGTCCTTTTCAGTTGTTCTCCATACACATGGGCCTTGGTTACCGCAGGCGAGAAAAAACAGGGATTTTCCACTGAAAAGAACTTTATTCCAGTTGTCTTGTCTCCACATGAACCTCTCTCTGCATCATCTGAAATGCACTTGTCATTTCTTTTTTGTTAGAGATGGCTTTTATGGCTTGGGAACACAGCAGTTGAAGTGCAAATTGTGCAACCTTCGGCATGTAGTTTGGCTAATAACGTTCACTCCAGTTGGTATCCATTGTGCGTGCAAGTGTAACACTTTTAAAGCAGTTTTTCACAACAATCCTTCTCATGTTTCTCTCATCCCCGCAGTCATTGCTTGTTTACGTCCACATTTCTGGCATTACTTGTTAGTTAAAACTTGAACACCGTTTTGTTTTTCAGTACCCCAGAGACTGTTGGCTGCAAGCACTTTATATAATTCGCAATTCCTTTTTTTGTGTTCTTCCTGCTTTGTATAAGGCTATGTATAATAGTATCTTTAGTTTTGTCACTGATGTCACACTTACACTCCATGTTACAGTGCCCAGCAATACGCAAATTTGCATTATAATTTAGTTTTTTTATGGCTGTTTGTACGGCTATTCTTGCTAATATTCTAATTTTTTGTCATGGCCAAACTGTTGTTCTATTTTTTTGTCATTTCATTTCCATTTGTAACAAAAAATGTTCGAGTTAATTTGTATGATTAATGGATATAAAAAGTATACATAAGCACTGTTTATATAGTGTTGAAAAAAAATTTTGTAAAAACTCTGTGTTCTTCAAGAGAAAATGTACACTAAACTTTTAGTTAAATGAATATTCTACTTTTTTGTCTAGGATTTATATGTAGTAAGTAATTTATATCCAAAAATGCAATACCTAATATACAACTTTCCTGCATCACATCTCTGTTTTTATTCTCTTATTTCATTTTTTTTATAAATCATTTTTAGAACAAGAAGCAAAATAATACATATGGTAATTAAAAAGTGGGTCAATATTATTGGAAAATATTTATCAATGTAAGTTAATAATAATTAATGCGTGAAAAATTTGAGTTATTATAATAAAAATGTTAGACGAATTTTGAAATTATTATTATTATTATTATAAAATAGAGATATGCAACTCAATTTTTATTATTTTAGAAGATGCAAATCAATTAAAAATAATTTACAAAAACTGAATATAAAAATACAATTAAAATATTACTTTGTAGACATTGAGAAATAAACACATCAATTAAATTAAACAAAAATAAACTTCCACCAAAAACAAAATAAACACAAAACATTAAAAAAATTCTTGAATGAAAAAACTACGTTCAAAAAACAAAACAAAATCCAAAAAATATATTTTAAAAAAATGGCATTTGCATTTGCCTGTATTAATTGATGCAGAAGCATACCTTGTCCCCCCGGGTACATACATCGAAATACACGTCCTAATTCTTCTGCTTGAACTCTTCCAGCCGGCGTTAATTCGCCACCCCATTTCAATATTAAAACTAAAGATGGTTCCCTTGGCGTATCTGGAATTAAGAAATTTACTTGTAGTATATTTTATAATGTGATTATAAATCAGTTTTACGTAAATAATCTATACTTTATAAATATAAAAAGATACATTCTCAAAACGAATACGTCAAACAGAAACGTTCCATATTACTGGAAAAAATATATTCTATAATGTAATATTTTTTTGTTTTTTTATTTCAAATTATTAGTAATAAATTAACTTATTTATCAGAGTACTTTTACAAAAATAATTTGGAAAATTACAAAATTAATTTTGAATTTACTTGTGTAACTGTCTCAAGACATTCTTGAAAAATTGATAGAAACTATTGCCATAAATAAAGATAATAAATTATTTAAAATATAAAGTGATATACACAATACTTATATTAAAAAGTGAACATACAGGGTAATTCAAAAGGTCTTAGACAAACTTTAAAAGTATTAACAGATCAGGAATAAAAAAAAAATCATTTTTACCTAGGAACACAGCCACAAATGCTACCTGAGTGTTTTAATAAAACATGTTATATACATTATCTGTATTTCTTTCTGTGTAATTCTTCCTATACTTTTAGCAACTCTGATAGCATTAGTGGCTATACGTTCCTAGGTAAAATTGGTTTATTTTTGTATTTCTGACTGACATTTAAAGTTTGTCTAAGATCTTTGAATCACCCTGTATAATTTATCAATACATAGACATTGCTTTCTCTCATAGAAGTTTATTTGATCTGTATTTCCAACTGGTAAAAAAATCCAGAATTAATAAAAAACTAAGAATTTACCCTAGAGAATTTTTTAATTCTATATTTCCAATGTTGTTTTAAACAGAGGCCTTAAGGCTTCTTGCCTTAGGCTAGTTCTTTATTACACTTAATTACATAATTATAGGTTATGAAAATAAAAGTTTCGTAAGTACAGTTGAACCCAATTTGTTTTTCGAGGGAACTGAGAAAAGTATTATATAAGTGAGAAAAATATACAAGTCAAACTACTTTTAAATTGCTTTCAGAGTGAATACAGTCATGCAAAAATATGGCACAGCACAAATTAATACTGCACAATTGAATTTGTACATGTAATTTTTAACAAAGGCATTTCAATTTTTAATATGTATAATACATTTGAAAAACGTACAAAAGGAAAAGTAAATCAGTCTAAAATAAGTCATATACACTTTTAAAATACTGACAAATAGTGAAAACGAATGAAAAATTAGAAAGCAATTTTTATTCATTTAGCAAAATTGGTTCACACTACAAAATGTGGAAAGCAAAAATTTTGTAACGAGTCAAGTCTAAAGGTTATTTTTTGTTTCTGGGGTTTTTGATTTAGTTATGGTTATACAGTAGAGCATCGATTATCTGAGCCCCGATCAACTGTCACATTGGTTAACCGACAAATTCTAGTCGGCAAATTCAAATGTCCGCTAGTGATGTGGGGCTACAATATTTGGCTATGTCTTGGCTACTTTAATATTATTTTTGTTAAATTTTTGTGTGTTTTAGCTGGCAACACTGGCTCGACCATGAAATAAAATAATTTAAAAATAATTTTGTTAGGTTTAACATCAATGAAAATTCAATGCGAAGTAGGCTAATAGTGATATACTAATATACTAATTACATGGGATATACTAATATACTATACTAATAACGTATTTTTTCATACTTTTCGGTTATCTGTTTTTTCAGTTATCTGACCAACCCAGTCCCCAATTGAGTTGGATAATCGATGCTCTACTGTAATTTAGTTTGGGGATGTTTTACTTTTATTAAAAGACAAAAATTTCTAGAAGACAAAAGTTACATGATTGTCACTCTCGAGAACATCACCACCAAGTTAAAATGGAATCTTAGATTAAACAATCTCCAAAGGCAGTTAAAGAGTAGTCATTTAATTGTATTGTTACTGATTTCAAAAATCAGCAAAAAAATTTTTGAAAAAAATTGGACTGATTTCTTGTTGGAAACAGATTGCAAAGAATTAAAAAACTAACTGTTAGCAAGTACATATGTAAATGGGATAAAATAGTGTGCTCTAATGTGATGTTACACTCAGGACTTACAAAGCAATGGACAGATAACAGATGAGACAGATGAAGTGATGCTACCAAGCGCAAGTGAGACAATACTTTTGAGAGTGAAACCTAGAGAGTGACGAGATTGGATTCTTTTGGCATTTCTGGTGTAATGGTTAGTCAAATTAGATTCTAAGAGTTTTGTAAGTGCTTTGATTTTGAATTATTTTTATCAGTTTTTTGTGGAGACTTAATTTTAAGTTATATTTAAGTTCACCAGTTGTAGGTATTACAAAAAAAATATCAATCAATCAATCAACATTTATTTGTTATGGCTTTCTCACCTTTACAAAAGGGGTTACAAAATTGTAATGACTTTAACAAATACAAATATCATTATACATAATTACAAGAATAGTAAATAGTATTACATAACATTACTAATTAAGTTAACATGTTTAATGAATAACAGAAAATTTATAAACTCTACACAACATAACAGAACTTAAATTATCATCATATAAGCAAACATATCAAAATCAATTGTCAAAAAAAGGTCCTTTAAGTGCTCAGTAAATTCACAAGATACAAATAAGTGGTTCTTAACGTTTTCATAAAATCTGTTACATAGTGAACAACTGGAATGAGCCGATATATTCATTCTATGCCCATTTAATACAATAGTATATTCATTAAGTCGTAGTTGTATTATTAAAGATTTAATATTGTAACTTAAGTTTGATAACAAATAATATCAGGGTGTCCATGGGAAGGATAAGAAAATTTCAAAAGAACTACACTTTTGCTCAATATAATGAATATCTTGAGCCCAATATTTATCTTTTAATGACTGCAAAAGTTCAGCTAGAAAGTGTTTTTTATCAGGGATTTGAGTATAGTAGGCAATAGAGTAACCTAAGTCAGACAGTAAACGTTCAACTGAAGAAAACCAAGTTACAACCAAAGAATTTTTACCTATTAATTTCAATTTATTATAAACCAGCTTTCTAAGATCAAATTCTGGTAGCTCTAAAATTTTAACCCAGTATCTAAAAATGGTCAATACTAAATGTATAGCCATTGGTGGACGGCCCAATTCAAATCTTAAAACAGGTCCAGGCACTGAACGATTAATATGGAATATCAATCTGATAAACCTCAGTTGTGTCTTCTCTAGTTTATCAACAAGAGATGATCCCCAAATTGGAAACATAAATCCCAAACTTGAACGTATCGAGGAATCGAACAATCAAAAGTACGACTTAATAGAAGACTGGTTCATTCTAACCATAAGCTTTATTAAATTAGAAAGTTGAAGTTTATATTTTAAAAACAATTTATCTAGGTGAAAAGAAAATGAGCCCAGCAGAGTAAAATAAATGCCCAGATATTTGTAAGACGAAACGATCTCCAACACAGAGTTAGATAAATAAAATTTATCAGCCTTCCCCAATCTGTCCCCTATCCAAAAAAACCATTACTTTGGATTTAGCTTCATTAATATGTAGTTTATTAGACTTACAATAATCCTGTAAAAGATTAAGCTTCCTCTGAAGGTCAATAGGTGAATATGAAATTATTACAATATCATCAACAAACAAAAGACAGTTCAATTCTACCTCCGATGATGTAGATATACCCATAGTATTGTGGATATAAAAAAATCCAGGAGATCGTTAACAAATAAACAAAATAGGACTAAGTGGTTCACTTTGTGGAAGACCTTTATTAGCAATTACCACTTCTGAAAGANAGCAAACAAAAGACAGTTCAATTCTACCTCCGATGATGTAGATATACCCATAGTATTGTGGATATAAAAAAATCCAGGAGATCGTTAACAAATAAACAAAATAGGACTAAGTGGTTCACTTTGTGGAAGACCTTTATTAGCAATTACCACTTCTGAAAGACAACAGTTAACTTCAATTTGAAAAGCAGTATCTGAAAACAATTGTTATATAAAGTTAATGAAAGAAGAGGATATACCTATCTGAGAAAGCTTCGACCATAAAATATCATGATCTATTGTATTGTGACCCAAAGGCTGCAATCTTTGTCAGGACTGACACCAGTGTAACCTTCATCAGAATGAGAGGGTTACATATGTTACGCAAACAGTCGCGGATATGGTCAATTGGGCAGATGGAGTGAGAGACAGCGCACCAGAAGTGAATCACACAGAAACTAGGTTAACGTAACAACAGTTTAATGGGTACCAATAAGCTATACATCTTTTACACTAAGTTGCTAAGTTCGATAGAAGGGGTGTAATAAGCGAACAAGAGAGAGAGTTTACAATTTTTGCATGGCAATAATTACCTTGAGGTTGATTAAATCATTACGAAATCTTGGTTCAAATGTTCTGAGTTGGCGACATCGATAATCCCAATAGGAGGAGGCACTTAGTATGTCAGGTTCCTGATGAAGTAATCTAAATGTTAGGCACTTAATACCTAAGGTTGATGAAATAAATCCAAAAATTTGCACTGTGCATCCGCGATGAGTTGGAATGAAAAATCACTTCTGAGGGTCAGATGAAGATGGTAACACATCGGAGAAATGGCGGCGACTGCCTCAAAAATCAGTCTGTTCCTATATTCATTTGACAAACTTGCAATAATAGGTCGGAAGGTTATGTGAAAGCGTCTTTTTAGCATCTGAGAATGTGTTTAACGATTAACTTCCAGGTGTGAAATCTGATATTTAAACTATAAAATAGTATTGTTAATGATTTAGGTCAGGCTGTTCTTAAGTAAACAAGGCTGAGTCTCACAGTATCAAATGCCCTTGACAAATCAATAAATCCAACATATAATTTATTACGTTTCTTAGCTAAAACTAATTGCAAAATTCCAAGAAAAAAAAAATTATAATCAACACCTCTATTCGCTACAAAAGCACCCTGACTAATAGAAATAACATGAGACTGCTCAAGCCAAAGTTGCAAATGATTAACTAATAGCATAGAAAAAAATTTTCCTAATTACAGTGACTAATGATATTGGACGATAAGAAG